TCAAAGCGATTGGACCAACGGTTTCCGAGATATACTCACTTTAAAAATTGTTGATCTTCTGACAAATGTCACTGTATCTTGCAAACCGTTGGTCCAATCGCTTTTCCACCTTACAGTTTTCGATAGAACTCGTCGAGTACTATAAGAAACGCAACTCAGAACTACTCGGTACTCTCAAAAAAATTTTCAAAGATTTCTACTACTTTTTTTAAACTTTATTATTCTTCAAAAATGTTTTTTATGTATCAAGAACTCTAGGTATTCAAAATACTTCTGTTAAACTGATCAGAACTATGCGACCTTGAATTTCGATAAAAAGTTAGCACCCCATTTTTAAAAAATGTAAAAAAAATGTTTATTGAGCGGAACTCTTGTTATTAACTATAGGGAACTCTTCGTCTCGTCAAAAGGAAGTGGGAACTCTAATCAGAACTCCTGAGTACTATAGTTGGGGTGCTAACTTAACATACCCCTGTTTCGACGTACATACTCTCGTACCGCCTTCGCAGCATTACCGTCACAGAAACCATGTACGAAAACCATAATAGACTATATAGACTGAAGATGTTAGCATATTCAATGTTAAAATATGCAGCATATTGTGACAAGAGTAACTCGTCACAGCTTCTGACAAATTGATTAGGAGAAAGGCACAGAAATGTAAACAAATAAAAAAAGTTTTCACCTGAAAACGCATATTATTGTTTTCGTGTACGATTTTAGTGACAATGATACTTTAAAGGCAGTACAAGAACAAAACAACTACGTTTTGTCTTCTTTGCGATTTTCTCCAAAACAAAGCAAAAGCGAACATATCTTACAGGACTTTTTTTTTAATCAATCCCTTACACGTTCCTGAAGTTTTGACATTTGAATTCCGCACACTCTATATAGTCACTTGTTCTCCTCGACTGTGATTGATTAATTTTTTATCGCTTAACGGCCCCTTCATCCACAGAAACAGTATGGCACCTACCTTCCAATTGGTTTTTTTGACGTAAATTATCACTAGAAACATATGCCAGCAGGTAACATATTAGAAAAAAGCAAAAAATTTTTTACAACTTTAATCACACGCTACAATTTTAAAACCGCGGGAGATTTGCCATACTTGCGTTTCCTTCATGTTTATTTAAATGACGAATTATAGCGATTTGAAGCAGTAACAAATCAAGACCATTTTAGTGTCATCATCTCCCGAACTATAAAGTTTTTATTAATAACAGAACAGAACGACGAACTGATTATAAAGCACTTACCCACTGTCATTCCAACGTTTCTTATTATTGTCCAGGAAGGAAAAAAGAAATAAAAAGAAATTAGCTTTTCCAAGACTGCACGTCTCTAGAATGACTATTCTTTTCTTTGCAATAATTCATAATTTAAACGATTTCTGGTCTTTCAACCCTTTATATGAATAAAGGTTCCTAAAGAACTACCGTAAAGGCGTATCGTCTCGACGTAGATAATAAGAGTGCAATAAATATTTATTGCTACGGTCGATTGTAAATTCAATTCTTCGAGGATTGCTTTGGTGGATGCAAATGTGGAAGCAACGCGTATGTTTTCCGATACACGACAATCGACGAGATTAAACGGAATTTTTCATAAGCGTCTGACTATCATCTATACCCTGAATTGAACAAATTTCACTGCCGCGAAACAGCGATAGCTAAGGGACGAGATGGACAATGTCGATAAATTTTTTCAAGAGTCGCATTACAATATCATACAAGTTCTATTAAGCGTCAGCGGTCTGTGGCCCTATCACACGACAGGTAAACGCTGCGCGATATATTTCGCATTTCTACTCGTATTTGGATCTGGAATGATATTTGAGGTACACGATCGATCATTTAATCATCATGATGTATTATATATATTTTTGGATTCTGCGATTTTGTTATCTGAAAACGTAGTAAAAGCTTTATAAATACCAAACGTTTTTCTTCAATAATTTATATTGTTCTTAATTATTATTGTAAAATAAACGCTCACTTTATAACGTGTCGTGATTTTTTTCCTTGGCTATTGACAGGGCATAAAATGAAAACGAATCAAATTGATTGCAAGCATAAATATCGCACAAGTGATATATCTACACACACATATAAATCTATTCTGAATACAGGTGCTGGGTACAATTGAAATTTGGTCAGATTCTTTAAAACTGATTGACTGTTTGCCGATGTTAGTTCTTGGCATAGTATCGATAAGTAAACTGATTTGTGCAATATACACGTTACCGGAGGTGCATAAATAAGAACAATAATATATAAATACACGGAAAGAACAGTTTTGCTAAAATATCTAAAAATTTAGTTAAATTCAAATCCGAAATTAATTTTGTTAAATCACTGCAACAATTATATAGTTGATTGATGGTATGTCTAAACTTTTTGCAATATTGCTCATTATACTTAAACGTCTCATATAATTATTTTAATAATCTAACAAAATTATTTGCAAATCTATATCTATCACTAAATTTTTAGATATGCTTTAATCAGCAAAATTGTTCCGTTTCAATTAAAATAAGATTAGACAATAATCAATCAACGTAAAATCGTACTTAAATTGATCTCGAGCTGCAGATTAAAATACTTTTGATGAGAATGCGACAGTACTGGTATTCTCCAAAGTCGGATGAAGAAACTAGAATTCTACTTTCGTATGCATTGTACGGGAAGAAATTAAGCTTCGCTTATACAGGCAAGTCTTTTCGTTCATATATGTATAATAGAATATTTATTCACTTTGGCGTTTTTAACAAAGCGTTTTTTAGATTTGTGTAACATTTTGCTATCTGAAATATTGGTACTGGAAAATTACGTTTTAATGCGACTCGGACATGCTAAGCTTTTTCTTCATTATAATCTAGTTAATTATTTTAGTCATTTTCCGTCTTATGCGCATCTTATAAAATTTTAACAGATTTTTTTATAAATAGCTTTCTCGAGGTCTTTTTTAAATAATGAAATATTTAATTGCATAATTTATTTCATATTCGTTTTTTTCACGAAAAAGGATATTCAATACCTTTTTAATGCAATTAGTGTATTTTTTTCTTTTTAAAAGATTAAAAATGATTTACATGTAACTCTAAAAAATTATAATTTTTTTGAAAATAATTTTACTATTCTTTGTCTCCTTTTTGACTATAAAACTTTTATTCGGACATATTTTATTGTAATGCATATTTTCATATAGATACTATAACAGGAAACATTTTTCTATTCTTATCGAACATTTTTAACAAAACACTTTTTACAGAAGTACCTGAAGAGTACGTTAAAGTACCTTTTGTACCTGTTATTTTAACATCGCGTATATTTTTTCTTATTATGTTGATAAAATCACAAATTATGAGAGACGAGAATATTGAAAACGTATCATGTTTCTTTAATTATTAGGTATCTTACTCAGTCATACTGTTGTTTTCATATTTACAACATTATTAAGTAAACTACTATACTCGGAATTGAGCGAGGACGATCCATCGAGTAATACACTTAAACAAATAGGATTACAGTACTACGTCAATTATATGATTGATCTAAAAAAATATTACGTTCCAATTTTTGTGCACGTTTCCACTTGCGTTATATTTTATACAATCTTGATGATCACATTTGACGTCTTGTACATGACGCTCATCCAACATTGTTGCGGCTTGTTTGTAGCTTTGAGGTAAGCCTGTGATGAGTTTAAAATTATTGAAACGAAATCGCTTTTAAATAATATCTATACGAATAACAATGATCTTCTAGATATCGTTTGGAAAGCGCATTTGAATGCGAAGGCGATGATTTGCAGATATCTACTGCGAGAAGCAAACTTTACTCGAATATTGTATACAGTATTCGAAGACACACAGAAGCGATACAGTTAGTACATGTTTATGTCATTCCTTTTGAAAAAAATTACTTCATAAATTTATGTAACGAAATCATGTAGTTAAGACAAAGTGAATCGCGTAATGAATTGTTTCAAATCAGTACATAATTTATGCCTTTATACGTACTACGATAGGTTTTCCCTTGCTATCGAGTCAATACATAGAATACCGCTCTTCATACATGTCGGAGGTAACATATCGCTTCTGAGTATCTTAGGAGTTCAGGTACATATATTTATTTGATAATTATGATGTTAATTGCATTTATATGCATGCTTCTTTTAGGTGATAACAAGTACGGAAGATGTCAGTTACTTGTTGAAACATACTAGTTATCTGAGCGCACTTTTACTCAACACATTCTTTGAAAATTGGCAAGGTCAGAAATTAATAGATTCCAGCGAAAAGGTGTATGAATCCGCGTACGTTTCACACACTATAAAAATTTCCCAGCTGATGCTAAATATTCCCGAAATATTTATAAAAAGTTTTTAAAATCACAAGAAAAATGTTTCAAAAGTATTCCAGAATATTCCAAAATACATATTAACAGAATTTAAAAGCAACATTCAAATATCGTGAGCAAACGATGAACAAACGAATGCATGAAGAAAAAAATCGACTTTTTAATATTGGGGGGCCAGCTAGTGTGAAGTTGGCCAACCAAAACATAATTTTCGTATATTTTTTGAACTAAGGGTGAGCAAACAAAAATTCCAACTGAGCATTTGTGAACAAACGATGAGCAAACGAATGCAAGAAGAAAAAAATCGATTTTTTAATATTGAGGGGCCAGCTTTACACAGGTTTTGCAACCGTTTTATGATTCGTCTCGTTGTGATTGGATACTTTTAGTTCTAAAGAAATAGTCCTATTTCAGCGAAAAATCATAAAACAGTTGTAAAACTGTTGAATCTGCTGAACGTGACCATTGTTGACATTACCACCCTCTGAAGAAATAGATATAACCATCTTTTTATGCTCCTGATGGAAATAAATCGCTGAAATCGTTAATTATTTTTTATTAATTTGATAGATTTGATAGATAGTTGTTTCAGTGATTTTTTTCCATCAGGAGCACCATAAAAAAGTAGATTGTTGTGAAGTTTACATACATTTCAGAGAGCAGTAGTGCGCGGCAGCATTTTGCGGTTACAGGAAAAAAAATCTCATGTCCTCTCTCAGGTTTCTGATTGGTATAATTGTTACATAAAATAAATATAACCCATACAGTACAAAAAATTACTGCAATGTTGCATTATTGCAGATTGCAATGTAATATTAATATATAAATATAAATATAAATTTCTTATCATCGTTTCTTAATCAATTTTATTTGATTCGAAATGTCTCTTCGAATTAAAAAGAATCACTGCAATTAACTTAATCCATGATTAACTTATCAAGCAATTCTTTTACTGTTCCGCAATATTTTTATACATTGAGAATACGAATTTAATTCTCTATGAATATTTAGCGTTAGCTGGGTACTAAAAGCATATATATCAAAATAAACAAAATAATGAGAAAAAAAAATTGAAAAATGTCGCGGAGTAATGTAAAATGTTTTTCTTAAAAAAAGAATTAAAAAATAAGTAAATATCAGTAAAGTTAATACATTTACAGATACAATGTTGAATGGTACAGAATGCCAATAACGCAAAGAAAGCTTTTTATTATGATCATGATGAGAAGCAGAAGACCAATGAAAATAACCGCGGGTAATTTTGTTGATCTGTCATATGTAAATTTCAATGCAGTAAGTATAAAACAATAGTTCAGTTAATACATACGATTTTTCGATTACAAAGAGAATAAAATTTAATTTTATTTTATTTAAGGTGTTACGTGCATCATCATCTTATTTTATGCTGCTACGATCCATACAATAAAAATTTCAAACGTGATAAATAATATATATATATATAATATTATATATATATATATCTTATATATTATATATATATATCTTGTATATCTTATATAGGGTGTCATTAACCGATTAAATCAGCTATCAAGTATAAGTAGAGTAGATCGAACTGAGTCTAAAAGTCTTATACCATTTTGCAGTTCACGTAATATTTAACGAGATGTTAGACCTTAAAGATAGCAGAATAAACGCATTCGTCCGGCCTACTATTGTCGAATATCCGCCATTGTTAGCTTGGCGCGAGAGATGGCCTGAGGCGCGCCGTTCGAATTTAGAGGCTCATAATAACAGTAAGCCGGACGAACGCGTTTATTCGGCTATCTTTAAGATCTAATATCTCATTAATATAGCGTAAACTGCAAAATGGTATAAGACTTTTCGACTCAGTTCTACTCTACCTGCTTCTTGGTAGGTGATTAATCAGTTAATGACACCCTCTGTATATCTTATATGTATATTATACATATTATTAGGAGAGTGCATTAATTTTAAAGGATTCCCAAGAGATGGTATAACTAGTACATTGCATTGGGTCATATTGTTGCTACTTTCATGTCAAAGCACCATCATGTGGTTTTAGTTTTCAAATATGTGTCATTTTGTCGAAGTGTAAATATTGTTTTTTTTTTTTGAGCGTTGAACATGTCGAATTTTGTGCCAACACAATTTGTGGGAAGCTTTGCTTTTTTGCTTCCATTTGAAGAAAAATACTGTTGAAAGTCAACGAATGTTATCAGAAGCTTATGGTGATTATACTCCATCGATTTCAATGTGAGTATTAGTTTCGACGCTGTAAAAAAAGTGATTTTGACACGAAAGATAAGGAACGTCTAGGAGAGCCGAAAATGTTGAAGATGAGGAAGTGCAAGTTTTACTCGATCAAAACCCGAGTCAAATGCAAGAATTTGTAGAATCATTAAATGTTGATCGAACAACGATTTCCAGACGTTTGAAGGCCATTAACCATATTTTTACCAAAAAATCCTTCAAAATTAATGCACACTCCTAGTATATATTTATATATAATATTACATATGTATATATATATTTAATGTCAAAATATTAATGTTTATAATTATTAATAATTATAATTAGTTCACTTAAAAGGATGCATATTTTGGCTATAAATTATTGTGTATGTGCGTGTGCATGTGTATAATATATGTGAGTTACAATATTCCAGTTGAATTTTTTATAATATGTAATTAAATGACATTACAGAAAAGTATTATTTTAATAACTATATTTCTCTAACTTAATTATTAAAAAAAAAAATACTCACAATGCCAAGTATTCCAACGGCAGATGTTACAATTGTATCCGTTATCAGGAGACGCGGTAGTGTCTCCGGCCATGTTCAAAAATTGAGAGACACTACAAGTCTCTTAACCCAAGCCACCAAAGTCCATTTTTGGGAGGTGCATAACTACTAAAATATAAAATATAGATATTAAAGAATTATTCTTCCAGTAAAAGCTGTAGTTCTGATGAAGAATATGAGATTCTCTTACAAGAAAAAAAGAAACGTGTTATGCTGGCGTGGTCTACAATGGGCAGTAGCAGTACTGGATTAAGGAGTAGGCGTAGAAATCGACCAATGATAGTTAATTATCCTCCTCACATTCGACTGTGATTTGTTGATCTCTACGTCTATTCCTTAATCCATCACTGCTACTGCCCATTGTAGAATGGGCTTTAAATGTCCTCGCATAAAAAATTATTCACAGACTGTTGTCTTGCGATGAGTTTAAAGTCGTAAGTGAAAATTACACACAAAAATTTGTCGTAACTGTTTCCGACAGAATCGTAAGTCAACGCAAGGATCGATATACACATATGTTTTAGGCCGTAAGAATCTTTACGATAATCATTGTGCGTTAACTAACGACTTTGTCAGAAACTGTTACGACAATCCACGATAATCTTTGTGCTCCAGACCCTAGGAATGCCTTACGATCTCTACTGTGATTGGTCAATTCGCTTACTGCTTACGTCTTACTACCTTAAGTTTTTTGTGTGCCATGGTCTTTATGGTTCGCGTTTTACTTCTTCTTCTTCTTTAATTAATGGCTCCCGCCTCCAAATAATGAAATAGGAGGTCGATATGGCCAGATGACGTCTTTAATGTGAACCGTACAAATATGAAAACAAACGGGTGATGCATTGCCCGCATAGCCAGATGACGTCTTTAATGTGAACCGTACAAATATGAAAACAAACGGGTGATGCATTGCCCGCGAAAATGGCGTAGCCCGAACGGACACCGGGCGCCTGCCTCTACGACACCGTCACGCCGCAATAACGCGCGACGCGCGTCAGGACGAACGAACGAGTCGACTTCGGAGGTGAGTCGACCGCGGACACACTCAGCGAGGATCAATGCTCAGTTAAAGTCGGCAACACTTTCAAAAATATACAATAACGAGCGCTCGATCCGAAACGCGTCAAGTGGTTCTTCAGAACTGTCGCGTTTTACTGATTACTGATTGGTTACGCGATACATACGCATCATGGGACTCCAGCCTAACGGCTGCAGCACACACTTTTGCATTAAAGCTGGAGTTCTTGAGGCATATTTGCCGCGTTCGCGTAACCAGTGATCAGTAAAACGCGAAATTACAACAGCAAATCACATTTGATCACTTTTGATTGGCTTGCGAAAAGAGAAGCGGTTCGTGGAAAGAAAAGCATTTTGATTGGTTGATTCTTTTATGCGTCATGCAAAAGTGTGTGCTGCGGCCATTAACATCAAAGGTGCCAGCTGAAATGCTCGCTCTTACTCCAGTCACAGTATATGCTCCAGTTAGTTCTGGTCAACTCAGTATATTATCGTAATATAATAATAGTATATTATAGAGCTGTGGCAAAGTGATTTATGAAACGATGGCAGAAGAAAAAAGTGACAGGTATGAATACTTATCGATGAACATGTTTTAAATTTCTAATTCATATATAATCATCTGGCTTGCCTTTGTGATTCATGCACGATCTACCGGGGCTACAGAATATCGTAAATCGAGGTTATGTTTTCTAGTTTAATTGTTGGTAAACACTCAAAGAAGAATTAGAATGTTGGGATTTGAAAATATGAAAATAGAAGACTTGTATGTATAAAATTTAATAATTTATAATTTTACATATTAATAATAATCCGAGAAACTAAAAATCGGCGAGTTTAAAATTCTTATTAGCAATTAAATTATTTAAAATATTTCTTTGCGAATTTAAACAAATTAAATTTTAGAGGGTTTACACATAAATGTATAAAAGTTGAATTTATAATGACTTAAAAATTTAACAAATGTATATAACTGCATAATTATAGAATTAAAATTCTTATAACTAGTATGTTACGTTAAATTAATAATTAAAAATAAATAATTTAGTCCAAGTGATAAGCCGGACCAGGCAGAGGCTGTTGAGGAAAAGAAAATAAAGCCTGATGATAAGAAGCAAAAATCTAAGCAAGATGAAGTAACAGAGAAAACCAGCATACAAAATAACAGTAATGAAAGTAGCAACTGTTATTGGTGATTATTAAATAAATTATCTTACTTATGTTTTTCTGTTTTATAACATTATACTTATCACAGAATATACTTTACAGTGGCAAAGAAAGGAATCCGAACATTGTGGAATTACTTTGCGCTAGTTGTTCTCGCTGGTTCCATGAATCCTGTATTGGATATCAATTGGGTAAACTGGTACCGTTTATGGTAAACTATATATTTGTGTGTAAGAATTGTTCACCAACTGGATTGGAAAGCTTTAAGAAGACTCAGGCGCGTGAGTATAAATAATATCAAGTATCATATTGATATCATATTTATACGATAAAATTCAAGCTATCTGTTTCTTATAATACTTTTATTGGTGGCTTTATAGCATTTCCTCAAATGTGTGTGACAGCAATCGCAAATCTACTACAGATGTGCCAAAAGGAGAATGAGTTGAAAACTCTTTTTCACAAAGATAAAGATATTATACCGTTCATTGATTGTCATTGGGAGAGTATGACTACAATGCCTCGCAGAGCTACTCAATCCTGGCATGCTACGGTATTTAATTACAACATTCTCAATGAGTTTTGATATTTTAGATAGATGCAATAATACAGTATGCCTTTATCTTTGATAAACGTTTAATTTTTTTTAGATTCATAGAGCGTTGCTTAAAGATATTGGGACATTGTTTACGATGGACGAGAGCACATCTGAGGGTCAGCTGTTTGGACTGGCAAGCTCTGAACTCACGTCAATTAAACCAAATTATGAACAAATGATCAAGAATGGTCACCTACGAGCAACAGAAATGGGAATACAGCACGTTGGTATGTATTCATCACTTTTAAATTTTTATTACCTTTGTTATTATCAATGTCATGTTAACCTTGTTAGATTTATTAAAATTTTAATTTAAAACCAAGTTTATTTTTTTAATGTCAAAAATTAAAAATCTGAAAAAACTAGCAGTTGACAAAATTTTTGTTCATAAAAAATGGATTCTTCCTGTCTTTCCACATTCAAAGTCAGAGAATATGTGTTTGAAAATTAAAAATTGCTCTGTACATCTTAATTCTTAATCTTTAAGTATTTTATGTTTTGTATATGAGCGTACTATGTACGCATATATGTTTCTAACGTTTTTATATTTTATAATTTGTATCAAATATTTCAAATCTATATGCCTTGGAATACAAAAAAATTAAACACATACAATTTGATAAATTTTGAATTAAATTTTCGCTTTTTTTCCAAATATTTTAGATATATAATTAAAAGTTTTGTTCATAGCTCTGCATGTGTGTGAGTATGTGTGTGTGTGTGTGTGTGTGTGTGTGTGTAGATCTGTTATTCCTTATCTTATCATAAATGTAATCACCAACTCGTTATCAGAAAACTATTTAAGTTTGAATCATGAAACATAGACATCTAATAAACGTCTCAATAAACTTTTGTTCTAAAACACGTTCTAAGATCATGACGTTAATTTTAATATCACCACTCGTATCATTTAATATATTGTTATTTATTCAAGAAATTTATTGTTGTAAGAATGAATTAATCTCCTATTTACAGAAAAATTAATTGTTGATTTTTTACAACATAAATTTTATTTTGATACGTTGAAAAGAGAAACAGTGACTAAAAAAGAAAAAATTTAAAATTAAGGACAATATTGTCGACAAGAAATATTGAGAATTGAATATCACGTATTAAAATATCGTGATGGAACGTTTAGTACCACTTAGCGGAGGATTGCGAGGTCGTAATGCCAAACGAAAGCTCCCAGGCGAAGCAGCGGGTACAGGTTCTGGAAAAAAAGGTAGAGGATCTGACATGACCACCCCTAAGCTGCCGGCTCACGGTTATCCACTCGAGCATCCCTTTAACAAAGATGGCTACAGATACATTTTGGCGGAGCCAGATCCACATGCGCCTTTCCGACAGGTATGCTTCGGTTGTATTTACGTATATTAACTTGTAATTTTTATATTGAGTTGGGGAAAGTCATATATGTAAAAGAGACTTTATTTTACAATAACTTCGTTGAAGTTAAACGAAATTTAAATTTTAAAAAAGGGTTTTAAAGCTTGAAATTTCGAAAGGTTATTATTTTTTTAGTTTTTGTGAATTTGGTAATTTTTACGTATAAAACAACCACGAACTGAAAAAGATGAAAAATTTTCTTTTATTTTGTCAAATAGGCTTGTATCGTTAAAACTTGAAGTTTTCCTGCAAAATCGTTTTTTTAACATTTCTATGATTTTTGGTTCGTCAGCTATTCCCGAGTTACATAAAGGAGTATTTTGATTTTAATTACTCGTAACTTTGTTAAAAATCATCTATCAATTTCTATATGTTATAGTTAAGGGGTTAACATTTTGAATTTAAATGCATAATAATATTTAAAATAATTTTGAATATTTTCTAAATTTTCTTTACTTATTTCAATTTGTATTCAGGAGTTCGACGAAAGCAGCGATTGGGCTGGTAAACCTATACCCGGATGGCTCTATCGTGCTCTTAGTCCAAGTACGGTCTTGCTTGCATTACACGATCGTGCGCCACAACTCAAAGTGGCTGAAGACAGATTAGCAGTTACTGGAGAAAAAGGATATTGTATGATTAGAGCTACCCACAGTACGTAAGAACAATTATATATTGATATCTGGAAAGTTTGCTGCAGTTGATACAAAACATTTACATGTTTTGTGTGTATAATCTCAATAATTACATTTATTAATTACATACAGGCGTAAGTAGGGGTACTTGGTACTGGGAAGCCACCATTGAAGAGATGCCAGAGGGTTCTGCTACAAGACTCGGATGGGGACAAGAATATGCAAACTTGCAAGCTCCACTTGGTTATGACAAATTTGGTTACTCGTGGAGATCTAGGTATTATATATCACGGTTATACAAGGTGTTTGACAAGTAATGAAAAATTCTGTCGCATAGAGGCAGAATGGACTAAACTGAAAAGAAAAGTCCTCTACCATTTTTGCAATAGTTACGAGATATTAGTTTATAAAAATATTCAAATTCGCCCAGTCCACCGCCAAATGCAAGGGGGACTGGATACGATCGCCCAACGAGGCGCACGTTCGCCGTCGCTAAACACGCGTTGTTTATATCAGACGGCAATGGACATTGTTTAGCGACCATTGCCGCTTTTTTATAACTTAACATTTTTATAACTTGATATCTCATTAACTATTGCGAAAATTGTAAAATGATAAAAGACTTTTCTTCTCAATTTAGTCCAGGTCTTGGCACGCGATGCAACTTTCGGTCGATTTTCGAATCGGCCGAAAGTTGCATCGCATACCGAGCCCTGGTTTAGTCCATTCTACCCTTATGTAACAGAATTTTTCATTACTTGTCAAACACTCTGTATAGAGCGTAGATTTTATTGATTTATTAGAAATTTGTTTAAAAAAAATCTTTTATTCTTTTTATGTAAGATTAATACTGAAATGTGTATTTCTTCGAGTTCTTGATTTACTCTCTTCAAGTAAACTTTCTAAAATATTCTTTTCGAGAAAAATAAAAAAGTGTAATACATTTTTGACAGAAAAGGAACACGATTTCACGAAAGCCGCGGCAAGCATTATAGTGACAGTTATGGTGAGGGTGATACCTTGGGCTTTCTTATAGTTCTTCCAGACACACATGATGCATCACACATTCCGAATACTTATAAAGACAGAGTGAGTACAACCCATTTCACAAAATTAAATTACAATACATATACATATGTATTATATGTATACACAATAGCATAATAATAAGTTAAACTAGCAGATCGGTATGTAAATAATATAAATAAAACGCCAAATACGATCGAGTTGCTAAAAAAAAATATATAGGTAAAATAGATCATTATTTAAATAAGTAACACTGTGCGTTTTCATTACACCAATTTGATTCATATTATTCTATTCATAAAAATATTAAGGTACAATAATCAAAAAATTAATAGTTTATGATATTTAACATTTTATGTCAATATATATCAAAATTAAATATGAAATTTCTCGTATATATTACTGATTTTTCGATAACTTTACCTTAAAACACTTTTATATGCGGAATAATCAGAGAAATCATATTACAAAGAAAAGTATACTATTCCATTTAAAAAATGGCGATATCTGTTGTATAAACCTTAAAAAATTGATTTTTTTGAAAATTAATTTTATCAATGTTTGCGTCTTTTTAAATCGTAAAAACTTTTATCCGAAACATTTTTGCGTTTCTTTTATATTTTCTAAGATTTGACTCATAATATTCTTACATTAACGGTCTTTAGTATTAAATATTGTTTATTTACGTGCCTTAAAGAAAACATTTTCGTCACTTCACATATACCAGTTATTGCGAGAAATATTACTAGTCTTAGTAATATTCCTCGGTAATCTAATTGGCTAGAACACTTGCGCGTAAAGCAAGCGATCCGGGTTCGACTCCCGGCCAAGGTAATATTTTTCGCAATAAAAGAAATTATTAGTTTCAGATTTTAATATAGTTTAACATTGATGTAAGATGCCAAAAAAGCATCAATTAATTATTAAATTGTTAATCAGTTTAATTCGTGATTGTACTGCGTAGTTTATTATATATACATATAATTAAAAAATTAACTTTTTATAAAAATCTATCTAATATAATATAAACTATCCATTTCGCGGATTTTCTCCGTGTCCGAGTCCATTCTTAGAATGCTAACGTTTTGTGAACATTTGTAATTCTGCATCTCGAACTATATAATGTTCACGAAACGTTGGCATTCTAAGAATGGATTCGAACACGGAGAAAATCCACGAAATGCATAGTTTATATATAAAAAATATCCGTGACAGTCTCAAGAGTAATATATCTAATAATTATTACGTATTTTCTGATTTGTAAATTAGCCTTTAGTAAAGTTCAAGAGCCATTTATATTACGAGGAGAAAGATCAAGTACAGGAAACTCTAAAAGCTCTACGGCCTTTAGAAGGCAGCAAAATTATATATTATAAAAACGGAATCAACCAAGGTGATGCCTTTATAGACATCAATAAAGGCGCTTACTATCCAGGAATTTCACTATACAAAAGCGCGATGATTTCTGTGAATTTTGGACCGAATTTTAAGTATCCTCCAACGAATATTACGTTTAGAGGCGTAAGTAAATTCACATTTCTTACTGTTAAAATAAATTTACATTCCAGATAGCACATAATAGGATTTGAGGATGTTTTGATTATTGCTCTCAAGCAAGAAATGAGTAGAAGTAGGAACATTCTGAACATATCTTGTGACATTTCAGAATATCCTCAAAATATCCTCGTAATATCATGCGTTATCTTAGGATTTTTATTGCTATCTAATAATCAACATTACTAATTTACAATCATAAATTGAGATCTTTATGTACCTGAATATATAAAATTTTTAATTCATGTCGGCTTAAAGTAAACTTTGCGTTTATATCATTCAAAATATATTCAGTTTAAATTGATATTAGAATAATAATCTGTTAAAATCAATTCTAAGAACTTAAATGCTAAAGAAATCAGTATATCATGTCATGTGCTTAAAATATTTTGTTTGAAGCATGTGACATGATATATTAAAACACTTTAATGTGGTCCTCCTCAATGATATAATATTCTATAATAAAATAACATAAAATCTTTTAAATATCACTTTTTTTCTGTCTCTCTTATGTATTTATTATCTAATTTTCATTTTTACAAGAATATAGCACAGTTTTCTGTAAATAATATCAATAATTCTAAATAATAATATCAATAATTCTAAATAATAATATCAATAATTCTAAATAATATCAATAATTCTTACTAATGTTAATGACATTAAACAATTATCACAGATGCACGAGAAGGCGGAGGAAGCGATAGCTGAGCAGTCAATGGCAGACATACTATATCTTACCGAAAATGAAGGCAAATTAAGACTGGATACATTCGTATTGTGACATTAGTGCATCTTTTTATTTTTGTTATTTCCGTTATACATTATGCAGTTATGATTGCAAGAATTGGCATAACAATACATGTAGCAAAAACAAAAAAAAAAGAAAATTATGAGTATTTTTTTTATTTGTATTAATTTATGAATGCATGCTTATTAAGGCTTCTGGGTACTTAGCCAAGAACTCCGCGTTGATGGTGGCGACATTAATCGGCAGCCTGGCAAAACTAATAGACGCATACACACACACACACACACAAAAAAGTACGAGCCCATGTCCGTTTGCTCATTTTCGAGCCGAAAGCGAGCACATAGTGGAATTATACAAGTGAGTCATTGCGCATAATGGCGGGAAAGAGGAGAGGACATATCTTGTTAACCAATCACGAAGGGCCCAATGAACATTGTCGCTATGCTTCGAAACAAGCCACATTGGATTTTTATCAATGGGCCCCCCATGATTGGCTGTTTGCTCCCTATTACTTTTAGGCTACTGCGCATCCACAGGAATTTTTACAAATATTTTTAAGCGATCTCGTCATTTATATTTATCCAAATTGTCTTTATTTACAAATGGCACGTAAGAAAAATGTGCATTTCTCACCTATGACGTCACAATTTCAACATGGCTGTCGCGATTGCTCAGGAGCCTTGAATGCTCTCGTATTTCTATATAGCGAAATAATTCAGAGAAAGGATGAAAAAGAGAGCGTTAAATATCATCAATTATTTGTAAATTATTTGTTCATATCAAATTCATGTGCTTTATTGTATTGTTAAACTGAAATCTTGCAACCAAAAGATTGTGCAACAACATTTAAAAAGATAATTAAAATGTTTAAAAAAAAATGAATCCTAAAGTTATGACTGATGAAATAACGTTTTCATTAATAAATTCTTTATTTTTTTAAATTATTGTTATCTCTATATTATAATATAAATAATTTATTCCTTTCTATTCTATATTCTGATTTTGCAAATAAAAAATTTTTTTAATTTCATTATTTGATTTTTCCTGATGTACAAAAAGCACATAATTATTTCATTTCTGATGTACAAAAAGTACATAATTATCTCATTTAATAAAAGAAAAATATTATTTATAATTGCAGCCAAATACGTTTATTATGTGATACTTATTTTATGTAAATTATTTTTGTAACTTAAATTATTACCCTCATATTTATAACTAATTGTTACATCATTACACATTACTTTCCAAAACCGCCCCTGCAAGCAGGATTTGCAGCCACTGTTTTATTGCTTGCTTCCCATTGCTCTGGGGTTTTCGCCTTGAAGACAACATAATAATATAAATTTTTTTTATTTAGCTCATGTATTTTAAAAAGTATATATTATAAATTTTTTTAATACTCTAATAGTAAAGAATTAATTAATAAATAATAGCCATCACTTACTATAATTGATAGAGCATGTACACCTCCTTGCAGTTCTGCTTGCAATAACTGGTTTATCATTCGATGTCGCTAAATTAATAATTAATTTAGGTATCCTTTTCATTATTCTAATTATGTGAAATAATATCTAGTCTTTAATCTTGTAATTATGTAAATTTATAAATGAGTTTATTTTCTATTATTTTAACTGTTTCAAATAATGGTATTATTTTTTATTTGATTAATTTTTATATATCTTATATTTTACTTTCCACGATTAATTAAAATAATTTTTTTAATCCAAAGGATTTAAAATTATTAAAATGAAATACAAAGTAGTAATTAGAGAATACTAAAAGTTAGTGGTACTTGCCTTTATCAACGGCTGATTAACGAATTTTTCGGTTACAACCACTACCTTAAAATGCGTCTCAGAGTTTTTAGGAGCATTGTGCATATAGGATTCATTAATAACTTCGCAGTGAAGGGGTTTAAGTGCAGCTGCCAGCTTTTCTTTAATTGAACTTTCTATAGGCCTGATCAGTGCTTCACTACTCATGTCTTGTTGATGACGAATCATACTGTAATCTATATTATTGGTTCGTTACTCAATTAACATTCATATCTATCTTTATTATAATGCGTATTAGGCGAAAAGGCTTTAAAAAAGTATTGGTGAATGAGACTAAATTCTGCCTCAAGGAATCTAAACTAATCTTTAAAAATCCTTTGTTTTAATAATCAATAACATTAAAAAGTGTGAAGAGTCAAATTACAAGAGATATATCTCTTCATATAGAATCTCGATTGAATAACTATCCCAGGCGTTTAAGGTAGGCTTCCATTACAATGCCTTACTGATAAGTCCAGTAGTGGAAACCGAGACAAAACGCCAAAATTACGTGATATTCTTCACAATATATTAGAATAAATATAAAAGAGATCTGGATTTTTAATTGTATTGATTATTGTTATATAGTCCTTGAATTTTTCAATCCTTTGTTTTAAATCCTAACAAGTATAACAAAAAATTTTCTTAAAAGTTAGCTTAGGTTCCATCGTGAGACTAAATTTGATCTTATTTACTGATACTCCTTATATTTAAATGCTAAGATTTTTTATTTAAAAAATGTAACAAATATCTGCATTTGCATATTAATTGTTACGATAATCAGAGTATCTTAAGATGCAAGAACAAAAATTATTGAAAATGTATAAAGATACTAGTTATATTAGGAGGTAGATATATGTCTAACTTCTAAGCAGAATTGTAAAGTTCATAACATATTCTCATAAGACTTATAAGAACTTTTAAGTACTTATACCTTTATACAATATCTTTACAGACAGCTTTTTACTAACCATAAGATTTATATAAGAAAGTAGATATTTATTAACAATCATACGTCTTACAATATACATATGCATAAAATTAAAATACTAGTTATAAGTTCTTACAAATTTTATAAGACCAAGTTGCGAGTCTTATGAATCTGCTTAGAATTGACTCATTAGTTTATTTAAGAGATTTGTAAAAAAAGTAGATTGAGAAAAGTTAAATATTCTAACTAATAAATTCCAGTAAGCATGATATTAACAATATATTAGTAGATTGTCAGCAGATTAAAGCAGAATACTAGGATAGAATATTATCAATTACATTTGTGTTAAAGTCCATTCTACAATTGCATTATCATAGATGTAAGTTACAGTTGTAAGAATTGACAAATTACAATCAAATATTCTTTTCATATTCAACTGTTATATAATTAATCATTTCTTCCTACAATAAGTCATTACCTAAGCTTTAAGTTTTAACCTATAAGGAATTGATTAATCATAGTCGATTATTTTATTCACATTTGACTGTAATTAAAATGATTTCTTATGACTTAAGAATTAAAGTTTAAATAATAGGTTATTGTAGAAAGTTCTTCTAACAATTATAATTATAACTATGCTTATGCAATTATAAAACGAGCTTAATTAAGCTTGTATTCTGAGCAAAATGTGTTGATACGAAGTTCTTTCCATTTGATAATACTTGTTACTCTTTGAATACCAAGAAAAATAGATTTGTGTCATTAAATGGAAAATATTATCTTTGGACAACAATTTGCCCAGGAATTAAGTACAACTATTAATTGTCAATCATTTAAATGGAAAATCATTAAAGTAATTACAAAATCAATTTTTGTTGTTAATCTATCATTACATTTCATTAACAGATTCTCTTACACTTCTACTGACACTCTGCTAATAAAATTCACAGCATACAAATCAAACAAATCTATTTCTAATATCTATCTGACGGCTATCTGAAATACAGACTTCTTGATCCTTATAGATTTTAACAAAAATTTTGTTCACAAATACATTTTAATAAATACATACAGAATAAGTGTGTAATAACAAAAAATTATCACTAGTCATTGCAAGTTGCAAGAAGAGTAATATACTATTAATAAATGATATTTTTAAGGTTAGGAAATTGTACCTTTGTGAGTCTTCCAATGTAACACGATTTTATATAATTATCTTGTAACTACTTGCAATTAATTACTTCGTCACATGTATGAGCAATAAATTAAAATATGCGTACAATAATTCTCGCTTTTGTAAAAAGAAAACAGAAATGCAATCTTAGCCTTAGATTAAAGTACGATATAATTCTAATCGTCTTTTAAATGTAAAACAATTTAATCATTGCAAATACTCACTTTTTTTAAGTATTAATCTTATCGACCTTGCTTTATGCATTTATAATTTATATATAATATATATATATATATATAATTATTCAGTTTCGTCACGTTACTTCAAAAATCGATGAAACAGACTCGAATTTGACAGGCTTTTGTACGAAACGAGCGAAGCCGGCTGAAAAAGACTTGTGATAAAATATTAATCGTTAAAGTTCGAATATTGAGGTTAGGAAATCTGTCAGTTTACGAAATATGCGATGCGAGCATGCGCCGTAGTAGTCAATTGCGCTATTCGTCAAATTTGATTACGTGTTTATTTTTAGCGAATAGTAATCAGGATGTGTAGCCAATCAATATGTAGTTTTACTGGAAGACGATAAGTTGATTGGCTAACTCTTTTTAACTAAGGGTCAATAATTTTAAAATTTTTTTGTAACATTTATATATTTCTATTCTATACGTACTCGTTTTTGACAACAATTTCAAGCATAGTATGTGTTGTGTACAAGGCTTTAGAAGCGAGTATCGAGGGCGCGACCATTCGAGATATCGAGAGAAGATGGCGATAAGAAGGAGAGAGAAATAATCTTGACATGTTTTTTGCATAAACACTATTGTGTATTGTATGTACTACAAGTTGAAATTAAAAAAATCCGGTCACTTTGCGCGTCGATATCTATCGCAGCCTAAAGGTGAAGGAGGAGAGGGAAACATAAAACAAGCCAAATTAATAATGTCAAGCAATTATCGCATGTCCTATCATAATTAATGTTCGTCTGAATGGAGTTTCGACGAATTTGAAATTAGATTCTGCATCAGGTACTAGTTTTATCACATCCAATGCATGAAAAAAGTTAGGTTATCCCAAACTCTATCCGAGTAACAGAAGGTTTAAAACATACTGGGCAAAAGTTTCAGTCAAGAGGAATTTCTTTCCACCGTTGAATACAATCAATAGACAGTCATCAGATTCACGTTTTTGAAAGATTGTCTTTTTGGCCGTGATCTGTCAAGGAAGATACAAATGGATTGGACAGAAATTAAAAAACAAAGTTCTCAGGTATGTTGCATTAGCAATGAATTGTCACTGGATGCATTGTTAAAAGAATATAGCGATGTTTTTGATCAACCGATCGGAACTATCAAGGGTTTTAAAGCCAAGTTAATGCTTAAGGAAGATGCTATTCCTTGTTTTTCTAAACCATGTACCATTCCACTTGCATTGCAAGACAAAGTAGACAAAGAACTTGAAAAAATGATAAAATCCGGTGTCATTAGTCATATTGAAACATCAAAATGGGCTTCGCCATTGGTGATAGTACCAAAGCCTAATAGAGCGGTTTGCATCACAGGAGATTTCAAACGTACCATAAATGATCAATTACATGTTCAGCAATATCCCCTTGCAAGAGTTGATGAAATACTCGAGAAGGTTTCAGGTGGTCAGACTTTTACTAAATTGGATGGTCCAGATACATTTCATCAAGTGGAAGTAGAAGAGTCATGTAAGAAGTATTTAGTCATAAATACTCATCGGGGCCTCTATAGATATAACGTGTTACCTCAAGGTATTGCATCTTCACCAGCAATTTTTCAAGAGTTAATGGATCAAATGCTCAAGGGAATTCCGATGGCAGGATCATTTGTGGACGACACAATTTCTACTGGGAAAAACGACGAAGCTCATTTGCAAAATCTCAGAATGATACTCCAACGTATGAGAGAATGGAATTTTCGTCTATCAAGCGAAAAATGCATATTTATGCAACAATCAGTCAAGTTTCTTGGACAAATTTTGTGTGCAGAAGGTATCTGTACTGACCCGGAAAAAGTAGAGTCAATTATGTCCATGAGAGAGCCCAGAGATGTAAAGGAAGTAAAATCCTTTTTACGTTTAGTAAACTTCTACAGTAAATCTATTAATAACTTACCACATCTCCGTCAGCCACTGAAAAAATTAACGCGTGATGGCGTTGTTTGGAATTGGAATAATCAATGTAAGGAAAGTTTTAACAGATTAAAGGAATCCGTTTCAAGTGCTCCTGTATTAGTTCATTATCAACAGAATGTTCCTATTGGCATATCATGTGATGCATCATCTGTCGGTATTGGAGTAGTTTTATTTCATCGTTACGAAGACAGCAGTGAACAACCGATTTCTTTTGCCTCTAAAACATTATTACCTGCCGAACGTGATTATTCCCAAGTGGAGAAAAAAGCTCTAAGTATTGTATTCGGAGTAAAACACTTTATTCAATATTTATATGGACATCGCTTCATACTAATCACAGATCATAACCCACTAGTCACAATATTTAGTCCAAATCGTGAACTACCGTCTTTAGCTGAAACTAGATTACACCGTTGGGCTATGTTCCTATCTGGTTTTTTATATGATATTAAGTATCGCAAAACTTGTCATCTTAATAATGCTCGTACATTGTCATATCTACCACTCGATATAAATCAGCCAGTAGACATAGTAGAAGAGGAAATCGAAGCCATTATAAAGGAACACCCAATATTTTCAAGCTCAATAAAACTGAAAACTATTCTCGATCCAACATTGTTAAGTGTTATTGGTTTGATTAGAAAAGGTTGGCCACATAAGCCATCTCGGCTACCAGATGAACTGAAACCTTACTTCACTCATCGAGATGAATTATTAATAGTACAAGGAATTGTTATGTGGGGTACACAAGTCGTTGTTCCTGAAGCGTTGCGTCAACAAATTTTAGAACAATTACATGAGACACATTCTGGAGTTGGTCGAATGATGTCGTTAGCAAGTAATCATGTATGGTGGCCAGGAATACATAGAGATATCCGTTTATTTGTAAAATCTTGTACGTCATGTGCAGTCAGTCATGACAACGCAGCACCGCTTCATCCCTGGTCATTTTCTGAAAAACCATGGCAACATTTACACATAGATTTAGCGGGTCCTATTCTTAACAGTATGTGGTTAATAATTGTAGACGCTTATAGTAAATGGCCAGAAATATACAATTTGGAAAACGATACATCGTCAGCTCATGTTATTCAATGTATACGAGAGAGTATTGCACGTTATGGTACTCCAGACACTATAGTTTCTGATAACGGTCCTCAATTTCTATCAAGAGAATTCGAGGAATTCTGTAAAAGCAACGGCATTCGTTACACTAAGTCAAGTGCCTACCATCTTCGAAGTAATGAGGAAGTCAAACGATTTGTTCGAATGTTCAAAAATTGTATGAAACGAAGTACAAAACATGCACAATTAGATAACTCAGAACTGTGCGATTTCTTGTTTAATTATCGGATCACAGTTCATGCAACTACAGGTGCTGCTCCATCTGAATTTATGATGGGAAGACAATTGAAATGTCTTAGATCTGCTTCACCCTAATGTTGATTCTATTATCAGGAATAAACAAGAGAAGCAGCAGCAGCAATTTAGTAGAAAAGTCTCTGTTCGTCAATTCAGTAATGGAGATAAAGTGTGGGTTCGAACGTTTGGAAAAAATGACCCAAAATGGAGTCTTGGTATCATTATAAAATCTATTGATCCAGTATCATACATCGTCCAAGCAGATGATCGTACTATCAAATAACATGTGGATCACATAATTTCGGCACCTTTCCGAAAATTACCAGAATCCTACTCAAGTGAAATCATCATTAATCCAGCAGAACTGTTTAATTCAACGGAGCCAGAAAGTATTGATGAACCAAATTCAGAGCCAAGATCCATTCCCAGTGAAACAATAGAGATATCTCAGCATCCTAAGCGTAACATCCGACCCCCTGATCGATTAGAATTAGAATATATAAGTTTCAAATAAGAGAGGAGATGTTGTGTATAAGGCTTTAGAAGCGAGTATCCGAGGGCTATTCGAGATATCGAAGAGAAGATGGCGATAAGAAGGAGAGATAAATAATCTTGATACGTTTATTGTGTATTGTACAAGTTAATATTAAATATATTATACGCTTATATCAGTAATAATCCTGAAATGTTATAGTTTATTTGACGCGAAACACAATAGTATGGATTCCATAATTAAAAATCTGACGTTTTGGCTCCGCTTTTGTTTATGCGAAAAATGTCATCCACTGCTGCGTTTCGTCCCGGCCCCCACTACTGGACTCATCAGTAAGACATTGTAGTGGGAGCCTGCCTTAGACGCCTGGAGGTGCCTTAGAGCGAGGTGCTATATGAATAGATCTCACGTATCTCGAGTACATGCGAGAATTAGCGAGTATCTTCCTTTTGAGCTTTTCCTTTTTGGACCTCTGGTGGCGAGCCGCCACAACGTTAACTTGAGTTGCGTATTATGCATTATATATTAAAATTGCAAATTTCAATTGTAATTTTATTTCAAAAACTAGATGGTCAATATATAAAGGCTGCCGCCGCTTACGTTCTCAACTGTGATTGGTCAATTCGCTTACGTTTACGGCCTTATGTTTTTCTATGTGTCATGGGCTTTACAGGTCGTTTATTCTCTCTCTCCTCTCTCTCGTTTTAATATGCACAGATATGTTCACCATTTTTAGGGGCCGATTACCAGACATTGGGCGCGTTCAGGGGACTCAACAGTTTAGTGAGCGCTCGCTGTTATAGGTGATGTATTCTTCTAGATCTAAAAGAATACACCAATAAAAAGTTGAAGTGAAACAATATACGTTCGTTTCATTTTAATTTATTGCACCGTGTGCACTAGTTCGGACAGTGCAGGAATAAAAAACAGACCCTCTGTATTCTAGGGACATTAGTCATATCCAGCCGTGCGCTTGCATCTGACAGTGAGCCGAATAAATTTTTATACATTAATATCTCGTTAACTATTGCGAAAATTGTAAAATGGTAAAGGACTTTTCTTCTCTATTTAGTCCATTCTACCCCCTACGCAACAAAACTTTTCATTACTTTTCAAACACTCTGTACTTGTTTTATAATTTATTACTATTTTAAATTATATATTTTACAAAATATTTTTTAATATAGTAAAAAAAAAAAAATAAAAAATAGAGGTTTTGTAAAAAAAATATAAGAAATAGATAAATAAATTATTCTAGCATTAAACATTATTCTTGGTTTTTTAATTTATAAATTCTCAATAAACTTTATAAATCAAGCACTTATTTCTAATCGTAATTAAACTCATTAGGGAATTAAACGCTTGGGACTTATCAAGAATTGTCATCCAAGAATCAGGGAATCGCTTAAAGAAATTCAAGTAATGGTTAAAAGTATATGTATAATTTAATGCAATGTATTATAATATATAATATACTTAAAATTAATATTTATAATAGATAAATATTTGAAATTTACGTGCTCTCTTACAATGTTTCCGACAATAAAGCGATTATTACACAAATCGATCTTAATATAAAACAATTACTCTAACTTTAAGTGACATAAGTAAAATTAATATAATCTTGCTTTTAATTTTATACAGTTATATTCGTGATTACATTAGTATTTATTTCAGTAAACTCTATAAAGCGTTACTCAATATTTTTATTATTTATCTGATTATCGCTCAACGACATAAAATGCCTGCTTTCTGTTTTCTTAATGCATTCATTGATATTTTCGGCATCGTTACTGGAGTGTCCACTGTTATTTGATGCTTGCTGATCTTTTGCTTTCGTTCTTTCTATAGGTGACGCTCCTTCTTCATCGCTGTCATCAGAATCCTCAAGTTCATCAGAATCAATTTCCAAATCTAATATAGTCTTGCGTTTGTTAGGTTTGTTGTTCTCCTCTCGTTTTCTCTTGATACCTGACGTGCTCGCAGCTTTGAATCCTTCTTCCACGGCATCTCCAACTCTCTCGGTCAATTCCGAACGTTCCTGATCATAACGCTGATCTTTAAATTCATGTTTCGGTTCGGTGCAGAGTTTCTCTAGCTTCTTCTGCTTGCGTTCCACCGCTTCCTTCTCTCTCTTGGCCTGTTTATCAATCCAGGCTTTCAATCTCTTTTCCTCATTTATGTCACGCAATCTGCGACCGCTGAGATCTCTGCAAGCTTCACGATTTGTAGTTTTCTCAATCTGTGCACCTATCGCGCGTAACATAGATCCAAAACCACCTTTGCCACCCAACAATCTTGGAACCACGGTTGCATGGCCACTCGAGCAGATGTCATCTTCCTGTATCAGTCGACCATTGTGTAGGACATAATATTGATCACATGAAAGATTCTGAAAACAAGAATGATATTATTAATCCATGTGTACTTCTTTATGAATTTTATAATTAATAAGTTTCCCTCATAGCTCAAGGTTTATCTCTAGTTTTTTCAGCTTTGGACACAAAATACACCAGAGGCAGATACAGTAGCATGTATATTTTAATCATGGAAAAGGAATTTTTATTCTATGAAACTATTACGTAGAAATTCGATAGGAATAAAAATATCAAAAACACTAATTTTATCTATAATATGGATAGCTCCAGCATCACCTTATCAAGTTTTAATGGACATATACTCTTTTTATGAAAACAAGGATGGAAAAAACTCAATTGCATCAATATTGCACTAGCTGTTCCATTGGAATATGCTACAAGAATTTCAAGGAATAATAAAAATAATTTATGGTTATTCTATTCTACAAAGTGCTCTTTGTTTCTTGTTTCTTGCTCCTTGTGATCGTTCTTTCGACAATTGTATTTCTTGCTGTTTCCTGTTTCTTCCAAAGTTCGTTGGCAAACTTTTATTTCGAATGACAGAAAATGAAAAACGGGATAAGAAGCAAAAAGGAACGGAAAACAAAAAACACATTGTAGAAGAGCTTTTAAGGTTAAATTGAAAATTAATTGGGTAAATTACTTACTGTTTCTCTTTCAACTTCTCGTTTTAATTCTTGCACTGAGATCGGTGTGTTGAAGCTGCATTTTAAAGATACTCCCATGAACTTCACATTCAACATTTTTACTTTTATATAAAATTTTGCTTTTGTACTATAAATTCGAACAAATGTAACTTATGCCAAGATAAGATCGAATTCTTAATTCTTGAAGTGAGTTGGCCTCGAACACGTACAGCGTCGATACGGTCAGTATCGAATATGGCCACCGTGTAATGACGACGTGTCTCGTAAAGGTAGCATTCTGCATTCAGCAGACTCAACTGTTGCCAACTGTTGCGGAGCGGATCCGTGAACTCTCACTGCTATTGGATGATCTAAAAGAATATACCAATAGCAGTGAGCGCTCACGGATCCGCTCTGCAACAGTTGAGTCTGCTGAACGTGACCATTGACGTGTCGAGTATCGAAAGCAAAGTGGGGGGAATAAAACCTGCAGTAAATCAAAATAACGTGGGGCACGCGAAAAACGAGCCCAGTCAGAGAAATTTAAATTTTTAAGTCATTAGATTTGATAAAGGCAAGAAGCAAGCGACAAAGCTTGGGAGGTGGTTTTTTAAGGAGAGGGAAAATGTTATTCGGAGTGAATGATAAATTAGAGGAGCGGTTATAAGATCGAGAAAACGCCACTATAGGTTACGCTACAAGACCTGTATATTAAGATGGCCGATTAAAGTTGCATTCACATGCAACCGTCAAACGTCATGGCCGCAGCACACACTTTTGCATGACGCATAATGCATAGTGCATAAGCGAGTCAACCAATTAAAATACTTCTTCCGTGAAGTGGGAGGAAAAGAAGGATTATGATTTGTTGATTCTCTTATGCGTTATGCAAAAGTGTGTGCTGCGGTCTTTATGATATGTTGATTCTCTAAAGCTATATCCACACAAACTTGCATAACCGCATAAATATATGCATAATGAAAATTATCCAATCACATTTTCGTGCATCTCTATAAGGAAAATGCGATTGGATAATTTTCTTTATGTATGCGTTTATGCAAGTTGTGTGGATACAGCTTTAGGACTAGGCTGCGCAAATAAAAGGAACAGGGAACAGAAAACAGAGAATAGCTTCGGATCACCTTGTACAAGCTTTTAAAATATCTGTAATAAGTAATTATTACTTGCGTATTTTCCTGTGTGCATGTCTTCCCTTTCCACCCACGCGTCATTAAAAATAAGGATTAAGGGTAAGTTTGAAATAGGAAATTATCAGTTGATTAAGACATAATTCCTTTGTTTGTAACATCTTTTTGCTTCTTTATTTGACATCTTTATTGTTGGAGAGAAAAAGCTGCGTGGATTGGTTTTCATCGTTACAGCTACATTTCAACGAAATATTAATTCATCGAACGAATGACTAGGTGACGAGAAGCGCGAACCCCCGTCGTGATACTTTCTATTATTTACAAAAAGACGGAGAAAGAGAACAGAATGGCTTGTCATATACTGTACAATCAGAAATGTTCTACTAAAAAAAATTATATCGCAAAGTTACATAATGAAATCATTTAATTAAAACAAGTAACTTACAAAACGGATTGTTCCAATACGTAATTTTTTAAAATTACGTAATTTGCAAAATTACATGATAACAGAAATAATTTTATCTCTCATATGATTTTATAGTTATCGAATTTTAAATAATTAAATGATAGAAGTAGAAAAAAGCATATTGTGTAAACTTTTCAAATTATAATAATTTAAAAAAAAAATCACATACTAATTTGAAATAATCCGTTACAAATTTCAATTACATTATTTCGTTATATTACTTTGTAATGTAATTTTTTTCGGTAGGGTGTATTTCAAAATTTACTGCCAGTGCTGAAAATGTATGATATACGTAACGTAAACTGTAGATTTTTAGTACTGGCAGTGAATTTTGAAACGGCCTAGGCCTATGGTGTTTGGTATATTCGCGTGTTCACGAAGACGCTTTGTGACACGCGACCGATTTTCCTTTTCTTTTATTCTACACGAAGCAACTGAACCATACAATTAGTTATGTAAACAGAAAAGTATGATTCTACGCATAAATTTGATCGCTGAGTGTAAAGCGCACCGGAAATCATTAATGCATTTAACACATTACCGCAGTCATAGTGTTGCAATTTCGTGCTAATTTCGTGCAATGACCTACGGCTACGTGAAGGCACTCCAGCACCCCGATCTATAACTCTTAGGACGACTGTTACCAACGCCGATTAACTTAATCGACGAGTAGTCCATTGGAATTGACCAATCGCGTCTATCGTCAAAACTAAATGATAAATGCGATTGGTCAATTCCAATGTACTAATCGTCGATTAATTTAATCGGCGTTGGTAACAGTCGCCCTTAACGACAATTCGTTAACCCTTATAGAAATGTAATACTAGTATTGGCCAATTAATCACTTACCTTGAATATTAAAAGTATTGTTATCAGTACTCTTAATACTGAAAATAAGTGATTAATTGATTAGTATTGGTATTAAATTTCTATAAGACATGTTGTTGTTGCGTATATTTTTTTCAATGTATAATCCTCTGCGTGACAACGAATATCATTAAAAGTTACAGAATCGGAGTACTGAATTTGTTTGGAATACAATAATCAAATGAATATTATACGCACACAATTTTACAATAACGCGACATCGTGTGATGAATACTTTCTTTAAATTGACATTATTAACACAATTGATTAGAATTGGAATCGATATATACTGTATACTTTCTATTTAAATTAAAATGCATAATTGAAAAACTTAATTATCTGTCTGCGCTTCGCACAAGTCAAATTTTATCCTTTTAAAATATCATCTTTTTTCAACATGATTGACAAATTGGTCATTGGATTGTCATAAAATTACTTATATAACAATATATCAAAGTATGGTGTTTTGTCGTATAAAAAATTAACTTCTTTATTTTTTCGCTGAATATGATACTCAAAGAGAGAATTGAAATTGCGAGTCAATAAATCTCGTTAAATTTGTTGCAAGAAATATTGCCGGTTACGCCCTTAAAAGTAATTCTAAAAAAAAATCGACGGATTACCCGTTATTCTATTTACATTCTATAATACTATATTGAGGATTATGATCCTCTAGATTTTCGGTCACTCGTGAAGAACTGCCAATTTTCGTGGGATTTATATAACTTCAAAATAAATATCTACGCCAAAATAGTATCTACGCCAGTAGAAATTACCCGACATTTTTGGAAATAATAAAAATACTAAATATATAAGCTATTACGTATAAAATAATAAAACAAAAATAATTAAAATGATCAAATGATCATTGTTAAATGCGAAATTGTTCCTTAATTAAAATCACATAAATAATTTCTAAATTCATTCATTTCGTAAATATTTTCTAGAATTTCTAGCAATAAAAACAAAATCACAATTCTTATTTATCTTTGGTAAAAATCAAATTTTGTGCTTTTTGTCTTAAGATCAATAATTTTAACCAAATCTGCAGACCTTCTCCAATGACCGAATGTCACATTTCTCCGTCGATTTCTTTAACTAATTTTCTTAAACTAATTAATCACTGACGCGAGAAGCTCCTTTCATAGCGTTACTATGCACATAACCCTTTAACCGATAATTCATCCAAATACAATCGATGTTTGTAAATAAAATTATTAGAATGAACATCTTATAATTTTTAAAAATCAATAAAAGATACCAACATTTATTTCAATAATTTTCAAGAATAATCCACAATTGTTAAATTACTGTATCAAATATTATCACATAATATCATATAATTAAATAATTGCTTATCATAAGTAGGTTTCAAAATTTTCTTTAAGAATGCGACGACTTTCAAACAGTCGTAATACTTTATAATATTTTATTCGTCGAATACGTATTAAATAGCAGTCAAAGGGTCAACGCAAGCACACAAGTGAAATATCACGTCAGCGTTACAATAAAGCGGACTCAATATGAGCCGTCGTAGTAGTTGAATAATTTTAAATTGATCTATTTTATTATTTCGAGGCGCCGCATTCCGTTCTGACGGCGAGAGGTTCTTCAGATTCACGAATCCTAGAACCTCCTTTAGACCCCTGAGGATTTTTAGGAACACGAAAGCCCATTCGTTGAATATATCCCGCGGACTTTTGTCCAGAGAGATCGCTACATTTTATTTACACGGTTTGACGTCGGCGGCCTCGAAACCAATTACGGGAGTGAGACAGCAAGCGATCGATTTCATTCGTACAAGATAGATCGGGAGATATCTGCCTAAGAAGAAAATTTATGTATGCATAAATATCAAGCCAAAGTGAATCAAGCTCGTTCGTTCGTTTTCAATACAAAATCATATTCAAAGAGGACCTTTTTAAAATTACAACGTCTGATCTACTTTAGCTTCGAACGACGCTTTGTATACTTATAGCTGGACAAAGTACGAACTGTTGCCAGTTCCGTTGTGCTGCTGAAGAGCGTGATATGATGCACGATAACACCAACACAGCAGCTGTAAGTCTTCCCATTCAGCATACAACTAGTTTGCACTTTAGTAGGAAAATGTACTTATACGCTGTTTTTCTTTTCTCATAAATAATAATTTAGTTTTACGATTAAATTTCTCCTCGAGATTGTGATTTCGAATTCGTCAAAGTTGTAAAAATTGAGATTCAATCAGGATTAATTAGAAGATAAAGAATCAGATTTTTGTCCCGACAATTGGCCGAATGCAATCGATCGCACGCCGCTTGTATCTACCATAAGTCCAGTCGACGCACTAATGCTAGTTAAACTATCCGAAATACGGCGATTTGTCGACTCTTAATTGCGCAAAACCATTTACGCAGAAGCTACGAGGTAACTCGCTTTGTCGCACCCATGTTCGCACTCGTCGCGGTTTCTTTGCAGTATCAGTCTCATGAGAAGGCGCTTGTGGAATAAAAGAAGGCACTTCGTTGCATCCTCTTCAGGCACACTTTTTGATATGTCGACTATTGGCCAGATCAGTTCTCGTATCCATGCCTATTCCTTCCCCGAAATTTCTTACGCCTCTTTTAGACTTTGGTCCTTTTATATGCTTCCCAAATGCTTCTTTCATCTTTGTGTCAGCTCCTTTTATGTTTCCGTCATCCATCTTTGTTAACTCTCTTAACGTCTTTCTTAATCCCTCTTTTCATTTCAATCCTTTTCACGTTCTTTCTCGATTATCTTGACTAGAGCCTCTTCTTGCTTTTACCGACACTCATTGTGCTTCTATCGATAATTTTCAAATTCTTTTTCGGGATTTTCAGGCTTTCGGGGACAGGCTTTTGGCCGTCAATAGACGTAAATAGTTTTCAGCTGATCCTTCAGCTCGGGGGGAATGGCACAGGTATCTGTCTCTGCTTTACGCTTCACTAATCGACGCCAGCGTCCACCAAGGTTCTTGCGGAAGCCCTTCGCAAATCCAGACCGGTCCGACGGCAAAGCATGTACAAGGGTATCCTGTAAAATCAGAAAGACCCTGATTTATACATTCACCATTAATCTATACATAAAATAAACCAATAAGTTATCAATAATAATTAAACTTATAAATCATAGACTCTTTTATAATTGATATTAGATGTATAAATTAGTTCGGTCCGTTTTTTATGTTCCAAAATGCATTTATTTCAAAACAAAACGAATGAACAGATTAATTAAAGTACTGTCCATCGCTGGCTACTATTTTTTCCCATCTCTCAGGCAATTTTCGAATTTCATCTCGAGAAAATGACTCGTCTTCGGAGGCGATACAATAAAACAAGAAAATAACGTAATATACAAGGCCAAAGGAATCAAATTTTTGCGATAACACCATTTTTAAGTTTAGTGCTGAAAATGGCTCGAACTAGAGTCGGAACGTATATAAATTTATTTAACGTATTGTCTTTTAAAATCGTTTTTCGCAATATAAACAACTTTTGAGAAGTTGTGAATTGAGACTAGAATCGCGGTGATTCCAACATCCTGCCAATCTCGTAAACGAAGGAATGGTGTATTTCGTGAGCCTCGACAGCTACACCCTATTCGGGACCAGGCTAGTAAGCGGCGGTAGGTAGATAGGTAGGTAGGTAGACGCCCACCGGTGATGCTAAATTTAGTGCCAGACCGGAGAAGCAAGCTGCACCCATTTCGCCGATGTATTTATACATACGTTCCGTGGCTTTATTATATCTCACGTGGTAATTTTATCACTAAACTATATATAGTCGAAAATTAATCCATGTCGTCGTGACATTATAAAAATTGTTATTACATTTATTACTAATTAAACGTGATGAAATGCGCACAACACTTTTAATTTTGCATTCAATATCATGTTAATATAGCAGAAATATATTTCTTAATTCAGTGGCAATTAGAGACACTAAAAAGAATTACACGATCGATTCGAATTCACCGAATACCTGCAGTAAAATTATTAAAAGCGACGATTATTTCAAGCGATCTATCTAAAACCGTCTTCTAATAATACCTTTCTAAATAAAAACTTAATTTTCCTAATTATAGTAATTCATGAGCTTCTCCCTCGTAAATTCGATAAATTATGACGTGACCTAATTGTGATGAGAACAATTTTCTTAAAAAAAAAATAGCTTTAAGGCCGCAACATAGACTTTTGCAAAATACATAACGCGTAGTGTACAAGCGAATCTATATCAATCCTTTTTTTCCTTCCACTTCACAGAAGAGAAGAATTTGGCTGATTCTCTTATGCACTATGCATTATTATTATGCGTTATGCAAAAGTCTGTGCCTGCGGCTTTTAATGTTCTGTCACATTTTTACATAAAGCCCATTCTACAATTGTGCAAGCGTAATTGTAAATGGTTGTAGTTGTACGAATTAACCAATTACAGTCAAAAAAATGTTCGACTGTGATTAGTCAATTCTTACAACTACAGCCACTTACAATTACATTTACGCGATTGTAGAATGGGCTTAATGTTGACGAGGTCGAACGAATTATGGAAAAAAAAAAAAAAAAAATTGTCATTCCATTCGTCGCGATCGAACCCACTTCTTCACGTTAGGTTGAGTGGTAAGAGGCGCATCGCAGCTGCAACCAATCAGCGATTGCCGTTTTAACGGCGGGAATAATCGATCGTCCACAAAGTAGCGTGAAACCGCGATGACCGCGGGTCACTGTCCCGACTATCGATTGACGGACTTCTTATTTTTTCCGAGTCCTATAGAGGGTGTACAAAAAAAGACAAATCAAACAGCTGGCAAATTATTCAGCTTATCGACTCTTTTTTTAAAGCAATTTACGAAATTCTAGAAATATGATAACAGAATTTCCACTTTTATTCAATGCTGACAAAAGGTATTTCGACTATATAAATAAAACTGTGTGGTTTTAGAGAAAATTAAGATTTGTGCTTGTTTAGATATATGTTAACAAATTTTGAACACAAGTCTCATTCAATTAGTTTCGAGATGAACAGTTTACCCTTTAATTTTTTATTTAAGGAATAATCTAAGTTTTTTTATTATACCGAGGATCACACACACGAAGTTATTAGCCGTTGTGTCATCACTGAGAAGGAAAAAGAGGGAACAAGTCGTAAGGTTCACTATTGTCCTTTTTCCTCGTGAGGAAAATTATCCTTACAGAATGGCGATTGCGTTTACCACTTTCTACACCGCGAATCTTTTTTCGGGTGGCACTGATCGATATACCGTGCGTCCTCGAGTCGTTGGACAACGTAGCAGGGATAAACCAGTAAAATCTAGTCATACTGGCTCCACCGGTTAGTCGGTTAGCCATTGCAATGGTTAGATCGACTGACAGATCGCGAGAAGCGATTAAGAATAAACTTTATGTCAATGACTTAAACTAATTGCACTTTATGGGGCACGAACAAATATATATTTGAATAAATTCTTTTCTGTATTACTGCTATCACGGACAGATATTTGAGAGATATTAAAATAATTCTAGCGAAAAAACATTTTGATCACTTTTGTATATCTCTCTCACAGATTCGGATGCAATCAATTCTGCTGTAGTTATGTCAACATTGAAGTCGATTTGATTTACCTTTTTCAGTGTTATGAATAAATGTATATTATTTTTATGTACCTAATTTATGTTAAAATTTGAAATCAAATAATTCTGATCTAGATGAAGAATAAGGCACAATAAGAATTTCGCAATCCTCTATAGATAATTAATGTTTAAGCGCTTTCAGTCATTATTTTATTGCTTTTGATAACATATATAAAAATAATTTTAAATTTGGAAAAAGTCATAATAAAGTGATTAATAAGTATATAAATATTACCGTTAATAAAGATAAAAAATTGGGAAAAAATTGTTCCAACCCTATAAGAGTGCAAAATATTCCTACAATATTATATAAATATTAAAAAATTAATATAAGCTATTACAATATTTTTTAATATTCTGTGAACGTTATATGTCCACTTATATAATATTCTTATATATTTCCTTTGATATCCCTGAGATATTAAAATATTTATTAATTATTTTTATATTATAGTGCAATTTGTATTCACAATCCAGTAACGAAAAAATCTTATAGGTCATGTGCTTTAAATAACATTTTGATATGATTTATGTACATATCCAGTTCTACAACTGCAATTCAAAATCATTTTCAGTCTTTAAAAGTATATCCAAACTGAACCGGTAAAACAGTTTTACAAATTAAAGTGAATGTTATAATACTTTTTAACGTTCATGCAATATACAGTAAATAATGTAACTTTTAAATAATCATATAATATTACATCAAGAATATATCATAACCATTCATTAATATTTTAAGAATATTATTTAATATTATATAATTTTAGTAAAACATTCTTAAAATGTTATGTTTAATATTCCGAGAAAATATGCGTAAAACATTAGGGTTGGAGGAAAAATTCTGCGGTTTTTGTTATAGCTTAAAACTATAAAATTTTCGACTATCTAACGTAAAAGCTTGAAGTTTTTCCTAAAAATCTGTTTTAAAAGAATATTCCTACGATTTTTTCTTTCTGAATTATTCGTGAGTTAAGTAAAAAACATTTTGGTTTTAATTGCTTATAACTCCGTCAAAAATCATTGTTTTTTTCAAGCTGAGACTTTGCTTCATCGAACGATATAATTGTTAATTTTTTAAATGTACAATATACAACTTTGAGCTAATAAAATACCGTAGAACTTTTCCTCCAATCCAACATAACGCGCATTTAGGGGATCCTCGAATTTCTTTTTTCTATCTTCTCTCGTTTTCCCATGAGAGAACGACGGTTCTTCGATAACGAGCAGAAACAACAGTTGAGCACCGTCGATATAAAATACAAAATGTACGTACTACATACAAGGTGTGTACCAACCTGATCGTTGTACAATGTGTATTGCGCCGGCGACACGTGAGGGGGTGGGTACGGGGGCGGGAATTGCCACGCGAACGGATCGACTGGATTGGCGGACGGCGTCACCGTTGTCGCGAATACATGCTCGTCGCAAACGCTGTTCCCGAGGTCGGTCGACATGGTGGTCGTGGACATCTGCGTGCAGCAACCGTCCGGATGCGTCATCGGGGTCCCAATCGTCGCGAGCGACGTCGCCGTCTGCACCACCGTCGCTTCGGGGTGCACCGCATCTACGTTCGAGTGATGGTCCTCGCGCTTTCGCAGCTTGCTGCGAACAAGGCGAATCGCGATCATAGTTCCGTTGCTCCCAACCATCTTCCTGCACTTTTGGTACAGCCTCGCGAAACTTGTTTTTGTCTTCGCGACCGCGTTCCTGGCAGCCCGTTGAAATTTACTCTTTCAGCTCTCCGCGGGGTACTCGGTCCCTCCCCTCCCCGAGATGAATCGAAGGAAAGTCTTACTTAAGATTTCGAAGTCGGACCCGGTAAACCCTCGAGTCAGAATTCACGCGGATTTCACACACCTGAGAGATCAAGTTTACGTAGGCTTTGAAAAACGAGAGCTTCGAAATTCCGAGAACTCCAAGTTACGCAAGCAAAACCGACGCACGGTTCTTCGGAGTGCGGTGACGTGCGTTTCCATTCGAATTGTCAAGGATTCCGACTAATGGATAAATTGGAATTCCCTTGAGTGCGTGACTTGGGATTCCTGGCAATTCTAAAATACGAGGAAAAAAGTGGACGCAGATTCTTTCCTCTCTCAGTCTGTATCTCTTCTCTCTCTCTCTCTCTCGCGCGCGCGCTTTTATTTTACAAATTACACGACGCGTGGAGCTGTCGTCGGATCAGCTGTCTTTCTTCACGTCCGAGAAACGATTTCTCTCCGTGTCTCTCTTGATTTTCCTGAACGTGGTAATTAGCCATCGGTCGGTCGGTCGACTCGGAGGTTTTAAACTGATACTCTCGTGTGTCTTTGCAGCGAAGATAAATGCGGACAAAGTCTATCTGTCTCTCTCTCTCTCTCTCCCACCAATGCGTCTCTTCCCGTCAAGAATTTTACTAACACGTCGACCTTCTTTCTAGGTTACTCTCCGTCTCCATCGCACACACAATCCCTATTTCCGCCTAGCTCTGTCAAACGACTTTACTAACCACTTCCAATACTCTCTCTCTCTCTCCCTTCGTCGACTTGTGTCCCTCACTCGCGGCTAAGAATACCATCATTTACACTTGCGTACGATATTCGCACTGACTAGCTTCGTGTGAATCCTTGGCACCCGAAAGGACTATTATTTTTTCCCCTATCTCTTCTTTCAATTCACCTATCACGCGCACGTGGCTGTGAATTCGAAGAAACGGCGCACAGGGCGTCGTGTCTCACTGCCGAAAGGCCGTAGCTCCTAACACGACTACCTCCGTCCGTTCATCGTTCTCGCAAACTAGCGCGCATCTGAATCGACGAACGATGCATGACCGTCTCTTATACCACCCGGTGACGTCACGCGCGAGCGCGGCCGCGATTGGCGCGCGTCGCATACTGACGGCCAATCGACGCCGCGGCGAAATTCAAACGGTATACGGCGCCCGCCCGCTCGCCGCGCGACCACGGAACGGACTCGCACGCACCCGTTGTCACAGTTGTCGCGCCGGAAGGCCGACCAGGCGGACTTACGTCTATATATCACGTAATCGTGACATGTAACCGACGACGACGCGACGCGACAGCGGCGACCATGGCCTCTCGTTTTGTCGTAATTTCTAATATGTTCCTTTTGTTTTTTTTCTCTCTTTACTCGGTGTTTTCCAGACAGCAGAGCATATTTATGACGAATATTCGTAAATATTTATTACTGTTCGTTCTTTGAAATATTATACGAATATTTTAGGCTTATATTTTGTATAAACTTTATTCGAAAACGTTTTATAGAATAAATATTTTATATAATATTTATGCTAAACATGGATAAATATTTTTTAGATTATAATGTGTTGTTAAGTATTTTATAGCATCTACTATAGAATATATGCAATAAATATTTCATAACATTTGTAATAAACATCTGCGCAACCTAAGATCAGAAAAAAAAAAATATTCACAAAATATTAAAAATAAATCCTAAAAATGTTTTTAATCTCTTTTTTTTTTTCCTTGGATTCGCTTGATAACATAATTTCATTATCAACAAGCATGGAAACTTCTTTGGTCGAGAATTGTGCTTCCTGTCGGATACTTTGATACTTAGTGTTAATGTTCTGCTGAGGATGGCTAAAATGTATAGTCGAAACGTCCGGAAATATCTAACGTCGATGTAATTACGTATCTTGTGTTTTATTAAATATTTTTTTATAAATTTTGCGCTCTTCTTACCGCGATGACTCCTACCTAGTCGAATTAAATTTTCTTCATTTTATTGAAATTATGAGGAGGGAAAGTTCATTATTAATTATTGTATTAAAAATATTTTGTAAATATTGTGTGTTATATTATTTACTAATTTTATATTAGCATTTGCTTAAAGTTATCTGCGCTTGACTCGTAATGTCCTTTTTTCTCCAAGTTTATATTTGACAGTTTTTGTTATTTAAAATTATTATATGTTTTGCAATATATCAATATGATTTTTAAATGTACGGTCATTGATTTGTAAATTATAATAAAATTTTATTTATTAAATATTTCTTCGAATTAATTTAATGCCTTATTCTCAAATGGAATGAAAAGAAATTAGATTTAAAAAATTAAAGATCAAATTAATATTATTCTTAAAATAAAATTTTATCGTACAAATTTACACATTACAAACTTATTATTTTGTAGTTAATAAAACGAAACAAAGTGTATGAAATTTTTAACTTAAATAACACAATTACATTAAATTAATATTTCAATTGAAATATAATCTATGCACATTCGATGAAATAATTAATATCAAGTAGCAAAAATTAAGGAGAATTATTAAATTAATAAATAAAATCAATTCTCATAATTATTCATAACAGAAAATATATTCAACTTTATTAATTCAAACAAGACAAAATTAAACCGGATATAAAATTTTATTGTATAAAATTTAAATCGAGTTCAATTCAAGGAAATCAACAAATAAGCGACAAAGTAATTACGAAAAGACAGAGAGAGAGAGAGAGAGAGAGAGAGAGAGAGAGAGAGAGAGAGAGAGAGAGAGATTTTGTCTTAGGCTGGAATCTGACTACTCATTGAAGATTGAAAATGAAGATTAAAAATTGAAATTTAACTAATAAGGATAAAAAAATTTTAACTTCCATTATTTTTATTAGTCAATTTTCAATCTCAATCTGCAATGAGTTGTTTGATTTCGGCCTTATACCCATTTCCACCAATGTAGATTAATTTTAATCTCGGTTGGACTTGCTTTCCATCTTTTTCTAGTTCTCAATATTAGAAAAAGATGAACAGTAAGTTAAACTGAGATTAAAGTTAATCTACGTTGGTGAAAACAGGCATTAAATCGTGAAAAACTTATATCAGACTGCGATAGAAAACAATAATTTAGAGACTGCTATGTCTGCGATTATGCAACAGCGACTGAGAAGGACAGTGAAGAAGAACAGTGAAAGAAAAACGTCTTTAGTTATTACTTCGACATATAATATAGAGCTCGTCCATGTTAGACGCGTAACACTTATCCTAACCTAACAATAATGGTAAAGTCCTCATCTGTAAATCATACGCAATTGTTTAAGCTGCCTTTATTATCAGAACTCCTCAAGTCATGTTGGATAGAATAGGATGTAAAAGAGCAAAATAAAATTTAAACAATGGCATAATGCGTTTAACTTTAAGTGCATGAAATTGGATTCAATTTAAATTAAACGGAATAGGTAAAATTAAATGACCGTAAAAAATTAAGTTCATTTCATTTATTCGCATCGCAGAATGTAAAATAGTATTTTAATTCAAATTTTACGTGCAAAATATGAAGAACAACTGAATAATAATAGTATCGAATCGAAACAAAATAGAGCTGTAGATCTACGAACTTTAAAAATTAAGCAGCTACACTTTTTTCAAAAATTAACAAAATTTAAATTTAAAAAAGTTTTACAACTTAATTTTTACTTTAAAAGTTCCTGTATCTTATGAGTTTTGTAATTTTTACACATAGAAAACTACTGTTGTAGAGCTGAATAAAATAGAAAATTTTCTTCTCATTTTGTGGGCCTGTCATGTGGCTAAAAAAATTTGCAAAATTTTTATGAAAGCTTATCATTTCTCCTACAAAATCATATTTTTAAAATGTTCCTAAAAATGTTTTACTGATTGTGAGATATTGCGGATTAAACAAAAGGAGCATTTTGATTCTCATAATTTCGTTAAAAATTATCGCAATTAAAACAAACAGATTCTTCAAGCTGAAATTTTTCTTTATCAAATGGTATAACTGCTAAATTTTCAAATAATGTTTTTTTTTAATGATACAAATAAAATAGCTATTTTGTTTGTGGATCCATAAAGCATAAATATATTAAAATACACACATACATAATAATAAGCAGCAAAATTAAAAATAAAAATCATAAATTAAAATTTTGTCAAATAAAGTCAGACGCAAATTAATATCGTCTAAAATAAACTTAAGAGAACGCAAAAAAAAAAGACTTGACATTCAAGCTTTGAAGATAAAACCGGGTTAAATGAAACAGAAAAAGAGACCTGAAGAAAATCTATTAAATATATACAAGGTAACAGGAAAATAAGGTAATAACAACCTCATATTTCATGTTACAATTCGATGTGTCCGAACATAAATCAAATGGGAAACATTTATTATATTAAACATTTATTGTAATAAAAAATTGAAAATAAATAATATTAAATAATAAAAAATATGACTTTTTTATTTTTTCCTATTAATAAGCGCATGTTGAATTATATCTCAGTAATAGTAGATTTGCAGATATATGTTCATATGAACTTTTCTTCATGGTGTGAGGAGTTTAGCCCCGAAGTTTGTTACATTATTCTAGTTACATCCCGCATAATCTTGGCGGTTCTTCACTTATTTTGAAATCTATTCTCGTACATGACAGCGCAGATAGGAGATCCCGATTCTTAGAGCGAGTTTACGCAAGATGATTTATTATCAAGATGTAGATTTGAGAATCTATTATTAATTGATTATCGGCGTCTACCACACACAGGTGCGATAAAACAGATGAATCACACGATCGGATTTAGCACAAACAACGATATCACAGAAAAAGGAATATTGAATCTCTCGATGTGAAG